TTATTTATTTATTTATTTATTTTTGGTTTGTCTGTTCTAGACATTTCATATAGATGGAATACTACAATATGTGGGCTTTCATGTCTGGCTTTTTTCACTTAGTACACTATTTAAATGTTTTAAACATTTATCCAAATTCTACCATGTTTAAGAAAGTCATTATATGGTTAATAATGCATTTTAAATTTATTTTTACTTATGTATATGAGTACTCTGTCGCATGGTCTCTGCATGCCAGAGTAGGGCATTGGATCCCATTATGGATGGTTGTGAGCCACCATGTGGGTGCTGGGAATTGAACTCAGGTCCTCTGGAAGAGCAGCCAGTGCTCTGAACCACTGAGCCATCTCTCCAGCCCCAGCACTTGTTTTTTTGCTGTTGTTGTTTTTAAAATGAATTAACTAGTTTTGTGTGTGGGTGGTTTACCTGCATGTATGTCTGTGCACTACATATGTGCGTAGTGCCCACAGAGACCAGAAGAGGGCATTGGATCCCCTGAGACTACAAATGGTTGGGAGCCACCATGTACCAGGGTACTAGGACTGGACCCAAGTCCTCTGGAAGAGCAGGCAGTGCTCTGAACCACTGAGCCGTCTCTCCAGCCCCATTTTGTTTCTATAAAAAGTTATGTCTAAGTGATGTGAAATGATACCTTACTATGGTTTTCATTGTCGTTTTCCAGTTAGAGATGAGAGCGGCTGAGCATCTCTTATGTGTTAATCATATATCTTCTTTGCATTCAAGTGTTTTACCCATTGTAAATTAGATTGTGTACATTTTGGTTAAATTTTCTTTTACTCAAAGTTAATAAATAATTGTGTGTATTTATGCAGTACAGTATGATGTTTTAATGTCTTTATGCAGTGTGTAATGGTCAGATCACCCAGTACCTCAGACATCAGTCACTTCTTTGTGATGGGAATACTGAGTATCCTTTCTACCAGTTCTTTTAAGAGAATTTTCTTTATTTTGGTTTTCTGAGACAGGGTTTCTCTGTGTAACAGCCCTAGCTGTCTTGGAACTTGCTCTGTAGCCCAGGCTGGCCTTGGATGTAGAGATCCACCTGCCTCTGCCTCCTGAGTGCTGGAACTAAAGGTGTGCACCACCACTGTCTGGCTGATTGTTCATGTTTTTATAATTACAGTTGTGAGATTGGTTTCCTGTTTCCCCACCCTTACACAATTTAAAAATATCACAGTGTCCACTCTAAGACAGTACTTTTAACAATGACAGGCTCTGTTTCAGTATTCACTCAGAAAGTTGCAGTACTAACTTAGAATAGTGGGGACTTTTTGTTTTGTTTTGTTTGTTTTTTGAGACAGAGTTTATCCATGTAGCTTTGGAGCCTGTCCTGGATTTTGCTCTGTAGACCAGGATGTCCTCAAACTCACAGAGATCTGTATGGCTCTGCCTCCCTAGTGCTGGGATTAAAGTCATGTGCCACCGCCTCCCGGCCCCCTCAAGCTTTAAGAAGCAGCGAGCTAACACCTCCATCTCATCCTCTTGTTCATCTCATTTACGTGCCAGGTCAGAGGCAAACATGGGGCGCTGCAGCATCTCCCCTTTTTGTTGCAATTGCTCCTTTACGCAAACATCTCAGCCTCAGGTGCATTTCTAACTATACACAACAGAGGCCAGCCAACCTCTGCCTCTGCTTTCCGATAATCTCGACCCTTGTGTGCTAATCTCAAAGACTGCACGATTTCCTCTAAACCTTTAACAGTTGTCAGGGCAACGCTATAATCATATGACGGCCCCCACTCATCAAGCAGGCATGCTACTCCATCCCACATAGATGACGACTGACATCCCGAGAGTCCTCCATCGGGCAGTCCTAATCCTGATGGCTCAGCCTTCGTTGCTCCCCAGAGCAAGAACCATGCAGCCGCTTTCATAGCACAAAGGCACACTAACATTGACTGTATAGGAAAGCACAGCTCTGCTGGCATTTCCTCCATGGATGCTACCCACTTGGACTTCTCATGCCTTGCTACCTATAACTGGACTCACTCATGCGCTCACTCCTCTCCAGCTGATCTTTGGGTCTGTGGTGTCCCTGTTCACATGCCAATTATGTTATGTGACAGAACTTTCCCTGGGGAGATGCTACGCACGTTTACTCACCCAAGAGAGGGAGCCCACGACAAACCAAAGTACAGACACTGCCAAGGTCCAGCTTGGTGAACCAATGAGTTTTATTGGGGCCACTTAGAGGAGCAGAAATGACTCAAAGACAGCTGCATCACCAAGACCCACCCCAGCATGGGTGACAGCTCACAAAAGCTGGGAACCTGGAACACACTATATAGTCTGCAGGCAGCTGACAGGTTGGAGAGTGTCCTTTCCAGGTGCCTCAATTGGTCTAAACCTCTTCCAGGCAGCTGGTCTCAAGACTTCTTTGCAGCTGGCCTTGTCTGGGAGTCTTCTTTGAAGCTCAGTGGTTTTTTTTTTTTTTTTTTTTGTTTGTTTTGTTTTTTGTTTTTTCCTCTGGCAGGTAGAGACCTAGGGATTCTGGGCAGTTTCAGGGACTTCCTGAAGCTGTTTTGAGTTGTTTACTTTCCTGCTTAAGGAATGCAGAATGAAATGGTTCAATCTTGGAGGAAACTTACACAATGTCTTAGGGTTTTATTGTTGTGATGAGAGACTTTGACCATGGCAACGCTTATATAGGAAAGCATTCAATTGGGGCTGGCTTACAGTTCAGTCTATTGGTCTATTGTCAGCACAGTGAGAAGCATGGTGGCATGCAGGCAGGCATGGTGCTGGAGAGGTAGCTGAGAGTTCTACATCTTGATCAGCAGGCAGCAGGAAGAAAGAGTGACACTAGGCTTGACTTGAGCATCTGAAACCTCAAAGCCCACCCCCAGTGACAGATTTCCTCCAACAAGGCCACACCTACTTCAACAAGGCCACACCCCCTAAGAGCGCCACTCCCTATGGGCCTATGGGGGCCATTTTCTTTCAAACCACATACATAGCCTCCTCTTGCCTCAGCCTTAATTTCAAATGCCTTGTCCTGATTGTGCTGTTCAAAGGGATGGGGGAGTAAAAGGGAGGAAGACGAGGAAGAGGAAAGGGACAGCAGAGGAGGGGAGAGGGAATCAGGCCATAAAGAAATTCAGTCATTCTGCTTTTAGGAATTTTTTTCTTTTTTTAGACAGGGTCTCTAGCCCAGGCTGGATTCAACGTCTCCATGTAGCCAAGAAGGCACTTGAATCTTAATTTCCTAATGCTGGGTTACAGGCTTTTTTTTTTTTTTTTTTTGAAAAATTTTAAAGGAAGTTATCAGAAACAGGCTTGATAATAATCTACAGTTATTTCCACTACAGTAGTATGTGTAATAGCTCCACACTGTGTGCAATGATAAAAGCTAACATGAAGTTTCTGTTTGGTAATTGTGGTGCAGACAGAGTCATTCACAATTGCTCTTTGAACTCCTGAACAGTCATTAAGATCATGTTACAGGAGATTACTGGATGTTGAGACTGTTTATAATACATTATAAAAACCGTGAATTGCAAAACAGTCTTTATCAAAGTATAGAGAACAGATTTGAAGAGTGTGTACCAAAATATTAACTGATTATCTCTGCATGTTAGGATTTTGATGTTTTGTTATCTTCAAAGGAATCATAGATTGCTCGCATATTTTGGAACACGCTGAGTTCTGTGCCCTGTCATGCCGCAGCCTGCATCTGAGATGTTAATGCTTCATTTTTTATAGTTTTTAGTAATGTTAGTGACTCCTGTTCACAGAGGGGATATAGAATCATATTATGGTAAGGAAGCTTTGATTTGTGGTAGATGACTTCATTTCTTTGGATTGTGATAGCTTTGAGCTCAGTGTTTTTTTTTTTTTTTTTTTTTGGTTTTTCGAGACAGGGTTTCTCTGTGTAGCTTTGCGCCTTTCCTGGAGCTCACTTGGTAGCCCAGGCTGGCCTCGAACTCACGAGATCCGCCTGGCTCTGCCTCCCGAGTGCTGGGATTAAAGGCGTGCGCCACCACGCCCGGCTGAGCTCAGTGTTTATTTGGATAGTTATGATTGCAGATGACTTTATGCAAGCTCTATCATTCTGTCAGAGAAATGATATCTGATAGAAATAAAAGCTTTTTTTTCTGAAAAAAGTAATATGATTAGTATTCTCTTTATATATAATTACATGTATTCTAGCAAACTAATATATATCTTGATATATATTTATATACATAGACACACATATTCTAGCCCCCATTTGTACTAAGTTTTAATGACAAAGTTAAAGTAGTATTGATGAAATACATTACCAGTGACTTACTGATTATACTATAACCAATCAATGCCCTAAAGTAGCTACAGCTGTAATTCTGAGGGTGCATTAGAAGACTGTGGCACTCTAGCTCAAACTAACAACAGTTGGATCCCTTAATAACATTCAAATAATCAAATATAGTATTTGAAGGGCTGAGTGGAGAGCGATTGGAACTGACAGAGATAGAATTGAGACTGGGATAAATGCCATGAGTCTTTTTTGTCTGCTAACATTTAGCCCATAAGTGGGATGTTCAGATCTCATAACTGACTGGTCCCTTGGGACTGGTTTTCAAATTGGTGCCCTGCTCCAGCAGAACTTTTTATGTTACTGAGTTTGGTTCTGGAGGTGATTTGTTTTTTCTTTTATTCTAAATTCTCTGTTTAATGTGTTTCTTTTTTAAAAAAGAAAGTTGCGTCTTTAAGAACTTGCTTGTATGTAACTATAAATTATTTTCTGTTAAACAGTGATTTTAAAGATCATATTATATTTAAGATGTTGATTATTATCAGGACATGCTTATTGCATCAAATATTCTGAAGACTATGATTTGAGTTTTCCCCCTTCTCTCTCTGGTGGGCAGAAACTATTTTAAAACTATAACTTTAGTTTATTAGTATTGGGTATATCACAATATACTTTCAGATTTAAAAAAGAATTAGAAATGCTACTATTTCAGAAATGTTAAATAAAATGCTCTATTTCTTTGCAGATATAATAGTGGATCCTTGAATGTAGAAGACGTTCTTACCAGCTTTGACAATACAGGAAATGTTTGTAAGTAATATACTAACTATAAAATATATTCAGTGTTTTAAAAAGCAAATTTTAGTTTTTTCCTAATGTTTATTATACCTACTATGTGTATATATTTATGTGTATATGTGCACACACACATATATACATATATTCTTACACATGTGTGTACACACAGACATACCTATCAGAAACCCTTGGTGCTGTAAACTCTAAAATATGCCTCAGAGGAGGTACATACTAAATGGGGTATGGCAGTTTTTACAGAAACTTTACAGCAATGTGTGTGTTTGCATGTGTGACAGAATAGAGATCAGAAGGAAGCCTGGACTCTCCAGCACTGTTCCTTTTGTTTCTTGTTTCTGTTGTGACTTTCCCATGAGTTCAGATTAAATACAGAACATGTTCTTCATGATGTTCTTATACTTAAAACCCAAGATTTTGTTTATATACTATTATAGGATATATTACATTTTTGTCCAAGCCTCTGATTAATTGATGCTCTATTTCTCTACTGAGAACTTCACTTAAGCAATTCTAAAATAATGCCATGTGATGATAAAAATCAGCTAAGAATATACCATGTCACAGTTAAGTAACATATGGTGATAAGAGCTAAGTGTGTCTTCTAACTTGTTGCATAGGATGTTTATCAAAATAATGAATCAATAATAAAATATGACCATTTCAAATTTAAAAATAACTCAATTTTTTTCCTCCGAGGAAATATATAATTACTTATTATCTACGCTAAGTGATAAACTTTGCTAATAGAACTATTTTATCAAATGGATAGATTTGAATTGAGTAATGTGTAATAAGAGACATTAATTTTATTCTATATCCACATTTTGGCTAGCTCTTGCTTTTATAGAAAAGTTATATTTTGTCACCAAGGAGCCTGTAAATGTTCTAAAACTACCCTAAAATATTCAAAATGATGTAGGTTTCTTTCGCATGGATAATAATAGGTTACCTGTTAGTTTATGTGTATTGGCTTTTACTGAATTCTGACTTTGGCGTATCTTGTAGTTTTGTTGGGAGCTAGGCAAGAACTGGTCAAGGGACGCTGTGGTGGTTGAGGACACATTCTTCTTTATACTGGAGTAATGTTAATACTATTAAGTCAGCCTTGTGCACATGCAAATTTAGAGCATGACCCTGGAATGTGACATAGAGAAATTCTAATTCAGTAGCATAAAACAAGTATTGTTTTCCTGACTCAGTATGGAATAGGGCCACTAGCTGGCAGCACTACATACAATACGAAGAGTTTCCTAATGGTCCAGATTATCATTTCACATATAAATGATGTCTTATTCTTCTTTACCATCTTCTCCATCACCACACCCCCGTGTTGTTGCACTGATAAATGGGGGGATTGTATGTTGAGGATGTTTTCTCTGCTGTCTCTTGTTTGTTAGGAAACTTCAGAATGAGTGAGCACGTCTCACCTTAAGCGATTTATATAGTCTCTGTGAACTTGTATTTTATTCATTTTTAAAGACTACATATAATTCCTAGACCATACGGCACTTTATTCCTCACAGTTGATACTCAATAAGTGGAAGCTATTTATTTATTTGTTTATTGCTCCTGGTATCGGTACCTTTCAAACTTGCTTATAAGGGTTTCCAAGTATGTACAATTTATGTTGTTAAGGATTAATTTAAAATAAATTTATATTGCAAAGAGACACTAAGAATTATTTTGATATTTTAAAATGAACTATTTTTATTGAACAAAAAAGCTAGAAAAATTGGATAAAAATAACAAAATAGCTTATGAAAATGTTTTATCATAATAGAGTCTTAAGAACCTGAAAATATGGTCCAGTGACAGATGCAGTAACAAAAACAAGATATATTAAGACCTTCTTTGTATGTAACTTTTTTTGGCATGTGAGTGCCTATGTGGTATGTGGTGTATGTGTGTGTGTGTGTGTGTGTGTGTGTGTGTGTGTGTGTGTGCATGTTCATGGGAGTGGCTATATGTGTGTATGGATGTGTGTGGAGGCCTGAGGTTGGGCTCAGGACCTTCGGCACTTGTTCCTCTCCTATTCACTGAAGAAAGGTCTCTGAACAGAACCCAGAGCTGTCCGTGCAGCCAGCCTAGCTACCCAGCTCCCTCTAGGGGCCCTCCTGAGTGCTAGTGCCAGAGTTAGAGGTGGCCACTGTGCCCACCTCCATTTCCAGGGCTTCTGGGGATATGAACTGAGGTCCTGTGCGTGTGTGGCGAGCGTCTTCTCCACTGAGCCATCTCCCAGCCCTGATGCAACAGTGAACTTTTTAGTGTTCATATGTGTTGAACATTTTGCCCCTCATCCTTCCCTCCCATCTTTTTCCCTGCCCCTCATCTCTGCTATTAGTTCCCTTTTGTCCCTCAGACAGCTCTGCTTCCACGTTATATATGTATCTATAATTCATGTGACTATGTAGTGACTCTTTAAGAGGAGCAGCTACTGAAATTTCACAAGTCTGTTTCAGCAAAGTAAATACAAGTCACAACTTTCATATAATCTTCATCATAAAGTGTTCATGCACAAAAAAGTAATTTTTCACTTGATATGTAAGTTTGATTTGGTTAGTGTTGCTGGGCTGAGTTTGTGAGTGGAAAGCCCAGCAGAGGGCGCCACAAGCATAATTCTGTTTTAGATCACAGTGTAATTAGCGCGTCACAAATAATAACCGAGCTTTCACTGGATAAACATTTGAAGATGTATCTATATATGTTCATGGACTTATTTCTAGTATATTTAATGTGTTTGCCAATCATTGATAGAAAAAGCTTCCCTTATCTTTGAACTTACTTTGTTGTTGTTTGAAATGACAATTTTTTTATTTATTTTCTTTTTTATTTTTTTATTTCTAGCTTTAAGTAAAGGAATAGTTCTGATTTTTTAACCGTGGTAGGGACTTGAAGTTGTGCACAGGAATACCAGTTCCTATAGAAACAGTGTGAAAGCGTGCCAAGGGAGAGTCACAACGAGGAAAGAAGCTTCTAATGCTAGAAATGATGGGCACAACAGTTTAGGTTCCACAGGTTAAGATTACTTAGTAATAGAGAAACAGTTAAAATATTTTAGAACCATAAAACTCTAATGTGTGTACACAGTAAACACAGCACACCTATCATCTAGTAGGGCCATCCATCTCAGATTTAAAAATAAGTTACTGGTTATGCTCAATGTATGTTTTTAGAGATAAAATGACTATTATTTCCACACCTTCCCAAATGTTATGGAAATGAATCCTCTTGATTTTGGGAAATAATTGAAGTATCTAATTTTTTTATTTCCTGATATTTTGGGAAAGAAAACATTCTTTGTACTTGCTTTTGTTACTTATGCCTTGTTTGTAAACACCCAACCTTAAAATGCTTTATAATCCTGAGATATAGTTTCACTAATTGACTTTGATTCAATGATGTAAGAGGAAATTAAGATGGATTTGGTGGGCTGCATGTGCTATCTATGGCGTGGTGGTAGAGTGTTTGCCTACCAATCATAAGTACCTGGGTTTGACTCTTAGCTCCAGAAAGAAACAAAAGTGTCATGCAGAATTCCTTTCTGCATACTGACTTATTGCTGTAGGACCCAGCATTGTCTTTGTGCATTTCTTTTTGCTGTTGTGAAAAGCAAACTGTTAGTCAAGCTTCCTAAGAACAGGCATTTCTGTTTCATTCTTTGGTTCCCAGTACTCAGGAGCATCCGTCCTGAGACAACCGAGCTGCTGTGCAGAGAGAGTGTGCTCGGTGCCAACCCATGGTGTGAGCTAAGGGACAAGTGTAAGGCTGGCCCTCAGGGCCAGTGAGCGCTGCCTCTGCGCTTTGCTCAGGTACCTGGCTAAGGGAGTATCTGTCCGGGAGCATTGCAGCCCGTTTCCTGCTTCTGGTTCCCTGTGGGCGGAATCTCCTTTCCTGCCAGTCCCCCTGACCTCTCATCAGAGAAGCTCCTCCGTTCTGTTTCTCTAAAAGCCTTTTTCTCTAAACTTGTCTCTTTCTTCTACTTAAATAATTTTTTTTTGAGTCAGGGTCTTTCTTTGTAGTCTGGGCTGTCCTGGAACTCACGCTGTAGACCAGGCTGGCCTCGAACTCACAGAGATCCACCTGCCTCTGCTTCCTGAGTGCTGGGATTAAAGGCGTGTGCCACCACCACCACCACCACCACCACCACCACCCGGCTCACTTTCATATTCTTAAAGTGTGCTATCTTTTGATAGCCTGAACAGATGAGTCAATATTTCTCCTGCCATTTATTGCACATTCACATAACATATATACACATAAGTAATATATAGAATTTAATAATAATACTGTGCTTACTAGGAATATAGAAATAACGAGAATTCAGAAGTAATTCTATAAATGTAGACTTTTATATAATACATATATTATCACATGTATATCATATGTAAGCTGATAGTTGTTATATATTATTGCAATATTTTCCCGTCAGTCAGAATGTTTGCAGCAGTTGAAAATGTTCCAGCTTCATTTTGGAGAATGTGTAGTAAAACCCGTTCTGCATCTTTTCAGTTTGCTCCTCTCCTGCTTGGACTCTGAGAGGACCCTGTGGTGGGTCGATGTCTCCTGGCTTCCTGAGCATGTTTGTAGACCCTCTTCCTCAGAGGGCACATGTGAACTTTTCATGCTTACAGCTCTAGCCTTTCCCTGCATTCTGTCTACTTGTCTGGCAGGATCTGTTTTAGGATGTGCAAAAACTGATCTCTTTCAGACTAGTAATCAATATTATCAGAGGGAAGATTCTTATTGAGATTTTTATCTATTCATTTTTACCTACCTTTAAGAAGCCAAAGGGAACATTATGGAAATACAGCCTACATCTTTAGTTTTCCTGTTATGTTATTATTTTATTATTCAGAGTGTATACTCTGCAGAACTACCAAAGCTTCAGAATGCCAGGTTGAATTTAAAAATGTTTTCTCCTTCAAAGTTATGTTTTATATAGTTATATATATTTATATCCATGACATCTATACAGATATATAATGCATACGTGA